TCTTTTTGACGTGGTCACGCAAACTGCTAACCCGTTCCTAACTTTTGTGGCTGAGGTTGTGCTGATTCCTCATCGGTTCCCTTTGGAGTTCGACTGTCTCGGCCCTTGCTTGCGTTTGCCTCCCACGCAGGTTTTGGACAGGACCTGGCAGTCTCTTAAGACTTGGCTGCCACCGAAGGTGTGTGCCAAGATTAAAGTTGACGGATCTAGCCAGTTCCACCCTGCTGTGAAACAGCAGGTTTTCCAGTGGAACTGGCGGCAAACGCTAGGTGCTCGAAGCCCTGGCGAGTTCTTGGCTGATTTGGAAGGTTTGCTGCAATCAGAAACGCGGTCGGTGTTTGAGTGAGAAAAACCAGTGCACCTTGCCGATTTCACGCTAGTTTGCGAGGAACAAAATCCTTCTTTTCACTGGCAAAAACCAGCGAAAATGGTAACCCTGCTTGGAGAGAGCGCGCAAGCGCATGGAAACCATTCAAGGTGGAGATTCGTTGGCATTTCCCAGTGGAAATCACGTTCCAGGCTTGACTTGAGACAGCGAATTGCCATTTCGAGTCACGGCGGAATATGAGCCGTGGTCCTAGTTGCAGTGTTTGTTGCCTTTTTGTTTCTTCGGGGAAGCAGTAAAAGAGGGTGCGTTTGCAAGGGGGTTCTGGAAGCTTCAGGCGATCAATTGCTAATCGATTCCCACCAAGGCCCAAGATTAAATTTCAACTTCTTTCAATCTCGGCCCAGATTCAAGACTCAAGATTCAAGATTGCAGGCCAAACTTTTCCAGGGAATCTTGACACTGGAGCCCCCGCCCAGATTTTGAAAATTCCTGCTCTTCTTCTCTGTTTCTAAGCATTACGAGCCAACCTTCTCCAGGCAACCTTGAATCTTGGATTTTGAACCTAGGCCAGATTGAATTTCAATCTGGCTCAATCTTTTTACATCTGGTCCCAGACCAAACTTTCCAAGTGCTCCTGAATCTTGAACCCAGGCTCGGCTGAATATTCAGCCGGTTTCAGGCCCTGGGCTCGAGTTTGCAGAGAATACTTTTCCAGGGAATCTTGAACCTTGAATCCTCATTCACAGAAACAATGTTTTGCACCCCGGGATCACACCCTCATTCCCACTTATTTTGACTTATGTTGTGTTGTCTTCTCTTCGCTTGAGCTTCTCATTGCAGAATCTATTGGGCTGAATGGAACAATCGTTGCCATCTGGCGGCTCATCTGTGCCAATCAGGCGGCCAGCTAGCTAATGTACCAACAGACAAACAGTCACCAGTCTGACAACTCCACGGGGATGTCGCCAATGTTTCATGACAGCTTCACTTGAAACGTTATTCCCAATTTGGAGGGGGGTGTCTCGGGGCATCCCAAAACACCCCGCAAAACCTTCAAGAAAGGTATTACAGTGAAAGGTATTACACCAAACTCCAGAGTTATTTTGATTGATTTTGGTTGGTTTTTGCTGGCGGGAGTTTTGGGGTCCAGTAGCTTCAAATGTCGTTGCGGGGACCACCTCAAAGTATTCTGCTCCACCAAGAAAGGCCAATCCGCAAAGTAGGACTTGCGACATCGATTCGAAGCGCGAAAGGAAAACATTGGCGATGAAACACGTGGGTGTTTGAACCATACGGGGGGCAGGGGTGCGTTGCTTCTTGCCTGCTTCTTGGGCATGCCCCACACAAGCCGCAACTGGATCAAAATAGATCAAACTAAGTCAAAATCGAGCAAACTAGATCAAATGAGGTTCTTTTAGAACGAATGAGTCGGGGGTGAAATCAGGGTGTAACACCTTTTCCTCTGACTCGTTGAAACAAATCATATCCTATTCAGGACTGAGCCCCAATGAACTCCTATTCAGAGCCAAGCCGAAATTTAGAGATGGTTGTTGGTGGAGATGTGGTTTGACTCTGGGAAACGCAACAAAACACTGTGTTTTGCAGTGTTTTCTGACCATGGTAGTGCTAGGACTAGTGGGCAAACAATTTTGGGACCTCTGAATTCTTCCCTCATGAAAGACGCGAATCAAAATTCCTATTTTAAAGTTGGCTTTAAACAACATTATATGTCAGCTTGAATGTTACACAAGATATCCTTTCCAATAGAACTGTCTTTACAAACCAGAATTCATGTACACTCACAGCATTCAACAGTTTTGGGACCTCTGGATTATTTCCTGATTAGTTACACTGATTTTTTCAAGTTGCGCGTGACTTCTGACCGAAAGTAGTCATAATGCCAAATAGGGACACACCCCAGTCATAATTTCAAGCTTAATTTGGAATTGCAAGATTGGCTAGCCTATTCCAATCCGAAGGGTGCACAGCATTGTCTTTCCAACGGAATGTTCTACTTGGATGTGCGTGGCAGTCCGTGCTTACAGTTGGATCATACAGTTTGTCGCACTCGTGTATGCGAGTACCATGGTGGCAATGCATGCACGTACCTGTCCTCATCTGGGGAAGGAGCCAGCGGCAGGCACGCAGTGACATCACGTAATGGCACAGCATTTGTGCACAAACTGCAAACAATCACTACCAGAATTCGAGCTAAATAGTCTAGTCCTAGCTTGGTGCTGGCCCCAGTTGAAAGACCCTTCGTTCTGGTCCTAGTCTAGGCGGCAAGGACCTTACAAAGGAATATCAAGATGTGTGAAATTTCTTACGGAAAGTATAAAATAGATCTCAAAGAGGATGTACTCCAGTGATAATTTCTGGCTTAAATTGGAATTCTCAAGCTGGCTATTCTGGTTCAAATCAAATGGTAATGTTCTACTTGAAATTCAATCGCAAAAAGAATTGAAATTAAATCGTCGAGTCCTATTTTGGTTCTAGTCTGGCTTGAAAGATCCTCGGTTTCAGTCCTTGTTTGAGCGTTAGAACGCACAGAGGAACTTATGCTTGAAATTCAAGAACTCTAAGAATCAGAGGTAAACTGCCCAGTCCGAGTTCGGTCCAGTCTTAGCTGAGAGCCCCTTGGTTCTAGTTGTACTTGGTCCTAGCCCGTGTCGAGAGGCCTTACCTTCCAGGCCTGGGAAGGTACATATATGCATATACACACGTGTGTGTCGCATGTTTGTCTCCCCCGCAAGAAATCTGCCTTCGTGTAATTTCTTGGCGCTAAGTGCAATCAGCGCAGAGAGGGAAAGCTGCCGTCATGGTAACCCGGCGCTGCCAGTGATAGAAGTTTGGTGTCGCAAGCTGCCACGGAGGCAGTGCGAGAAAGCTGCCTTCCGTGACAGCCCGGCGCTGCCATCACTAGAAAAGTTGGTACCGACGTTCACAAGCCCAACGCGAATGATCTATTTAGGGGCGTTCCTATATATTTGTATACACCTGTGAAAATCTATACACATCGCTCGTCCAAATAATGCCCTCGTTTCTGGACCCAGAAAAATCGTTCAAACACCGATGCACGAAAAGCCGAAACCAGTGACAGAGTCTCGCGTTTGGCCAAAACTAATTACAGAATATAACGGAAACTAAAACACCACTAAGGTTTCTAAGTGTCCAGCGCCACTTGACACAGCGCACTCTGAGCCTATCGAACCCCGCCGCAATGAAACCAAGCGAAACAGTTGAATGCCCCGACCGATCGTAGAGCTGGTACTGCGTGTTGGCGAACGCTCAGCGCGTTCTTCATGAACATGTTTGTATATATCTACATGTGTGTGTGCGTTCGTGCAGCTGGCCGACACCTACATACGCGCGTGCCAGGTGGCGATTTGCAAAGTTAGAAACGCCCCTCAAGTAGTGCGCAGGTACAGATTAGAGGGGCTTGTCGTATGCGCAAATCCAGGCCATGGCGCCCAGGACCTGGTCCAGGCCTTGTGTAACCAAGAAAGCATGTGTGGGGCTGGGCCGTAGCAAGCGAAAAGTGCCTGCTGGGGACATCACTTAGAAACGTAACAAACTACCAGCAGGAAATTTCCGAATCCGTTTACTTAAGCACCCCTGAGCCAACCCTAAAACCACGACCCAAGCCAACCCTACGCCAGCTGTTGCAGCCTTAAACCAACCCTTGAACAAACTTAAGCCAACCTGTAGGCCAGCCCGAAGCTATCGTGTCGCCCTGAACCAGACCTAAAACAACTCTATGCCTAACCCCGCCAACTTTAGGCCCAACCAGCCCTAGACAAAAGTAACGCAGGTGGAGCAGATGGCGCGCGCGACGCAGGCCGCGCAGATGGCGCAGCGGCGCAGACGGCGCAGCGCAGACACGGTTTCTACGCCAAGTTGTGTCTTTGTGTGGCAAGCGTGCTGGGACGTTCCACGCAGGCTGCAACGGCCAGCGCTGCTTGGCGCAGCTCAGGGAGCTTCATGGTGAAACGCGTTGACTTATTTGGTTGCGCGCGTTTGTGGCATGTTGGCCCGGTTGCGTGCTTGATTCCTGGTGCGAATTGCTGCAGGCACAAGCCTTAAAAAAGCCCATGGTCATGAGGCGGTTAGTGTGAAAGTCCGACGGGATTGTAGTGATCTCTCACAGGGCCACTCCTCCTTGTTGCGCAATTTCCTACTTCCCAGTTTTTGAAATCGCCGCTGCAGAATAGGCGCCTTCCAGAGAGGGTTGGCAACTCATGTTGGGGCGCCTGTTCAATTGGTCCGACAAGGTGTTAATTTTTGACATGCGCCCATAGAAAGCTTGTGTTGGTTTTGGACTGGGAAGCGCCAGGTTTCCTGCGTGACTGCAGTAAAGACCTTCTCCCTTTCCCCCTTAGCATGGTAAAACTGAGTGAGACGCACCAGGTAGTTGCTTGGTTTGGGGCAATTACCATTAACACCGCCGATCCACGATTTCGGCTGCGCGGTCGCAAGCCGTCGCTGTAAATGGATTGCGCTGTAGCCCCGCAAGAGCGCCGGAGTTCAGGCCCCAAGTCCTCATTCCCAGAAAGGCCTTCGCAAAGCAACTTGCAAAGCAGGTGGTAGGCTTTTGTCCTGGATGCTCATGATGGCAGGGGGAAAAAGGAGGACGTTTCATTTCATACTTCAACCGTCACTGCAAAGTTTCGAGGCGCGGCAGCTGCAACGTCCACCGCTGAGGCGAGACAGACATTTGCGTGTCGTTGGCGTTTGTGTGTTTGCGGGTGTTTTTGTGTCTGTGTGTTTGTGCGTGTGTTCGTGTGTGAGTGTGTCTGGTGTGTGTGTGTGCGTGGTGTGTGTGGGTGTGTGTTTTTCGGCGTGTGTTTTTGTGTTCGTGTGTGTTTGTGTGTGTCTGTGTGTTTGCGTGTGTTGGCGTGTGTTGGCGTGTGTTTGTGTCTGTGTCTGCTTGTGGGGTGTGTGTGTGTATGTGTGTGTGTGTGTTTGTGTTTGTGTGTTTGTGTGTTTGTGTGTGTGTGTCTGTGTCTGTGTCTGTGTCTGTGTGTCTGTGTCTGTGCGCTGTGTGTGTGTGTGTTTGCGTGCGCTGTGTGTGTGTGTGTGTGTCTGTGTCTGTGTGTCTGTGTCTGTGCGCTGTGTGTGTGTGTTTGCGTGCGCTGTGTGTGTGTGTGTGCGCTGTGTGTGTGTGTGTGTGTGTGTGTGTTTGCGTGCGCTGTGTGTGTGTGTGTGTGTTTGCGTGCGTGCGTGCGTGCGTTCGTGCGTGCGTGCGTGTGTCTGTTTGTTTGCGCGTGCTTGCGTGTGTATGTGTGTGTGAGTGTGTGTCTTCTGTTGGTTTTTCGTGTTTTTGTGCGTTTGTGTGTGTGTGAGTTTGTGTGTGTGGTGTTGCGCGCGGGCGGGCGTGCGGGCGTGTGTGTGTGTGTGTCTGTTTGTTTGCGCGTGTTTGTGTGTTTGTATGTGTGTGAGTGCGTGTTCTGTTTGTTTTCGTGTTTTGTGCGTGTGTGTGAGTGCGCGCGCGTTTGTCTGCTGAGCCCCTGAGCCGCCCAAAGACCAAGCTCTTGCGACTGTAGGGGCCGTGGCGGTTGCCCCATAGCCACGTAAACGACCCTATCGATGACGACTGGATGCATCACGGGGCGAATTGATGCGCGCCTGCGAAGTGATCCCTGAACGGCGTTCGCCTGATGCTTCGCTGTTAATGTAGCTAAAGGGAAGCCACACTGACTTTTCCACCGGAAGTTACTTGCGACATGATCCTTACACTCGCTTCCTCCTCCGACTGTCTTAACCCCTTCTTGGAGAACGCTGAGCGCACGAGTTCCTGGAGAGACCTTCAGAGAAGTTTGGTTTGGCTACCCTTGCTCAAAGACACCAGGTAAGCTCCTCAAAGGTGACCTTGCTGAGCAGTTGGGGTTGCCTCGGTGGCGCTGTCCGGGTTCTTCGTGCTTGTCCGCCATCATGCTTATGGACCCATTGCGGGATGGGTACTCCTTCCTCCCGGTCTGCTTGCCTTCGCGGGTGGCTTCCTCTTCTTCCGCCTGTCTTCTTCGTTGTGCTGTTCGCCTACAAGGGCCTACAAATTCTAGGTTGTTTGCGCAGTTTAGGGCTGTTGGTGTTGGAGAACCTAAAACTTGCCCCCCCCCCCCCCGCCGCGTTTCTCGGAGACACGTGGGGCTGGTTTGCCTTGTCTTGGTTTGCTGTGTTTTGTTTCCTGTTTGTTGAAGGTTCGGTTGTGCAGGTGTGCGCGTTGCCCCCCTGATTCACCCAGCGACCAACCTTTTCCAACGCAGGGGGTGGCCGTGCCAAATCTATCGAGGATGACCGGATGCACCAAGACGCGCCTTAAGGTCTCTTTGGTCCACCTCTTGCTTGATGCTTCCCTTCCAAAGCAGTCAAAAGGATGCCAGTGACGAAGTTATGACCCTTACGCTCGGACTCACTTGCCTTTCTCCTCCAGAAGTTTGTTTGTTTGTTCGTTGGTTAAGGATCGCAGAATTGCTGATTGTTCTTCTTTCGGCAGAATATCAACGAAGCAGAGGGTCGCTCTTCCGTAACGCGGAGCAACTGCAAGCAACCGTTGGCTTTGCGCGCGAAATTGGCGCCAGCTGTGTTCAGTGTCGGCCGTCGGCCAGTCGTTTGTTGTCAATTTGGATTTGACACTCTCACTAGCTTAGCTGCAGAATTCCCGGCTGGTCTTGACGGCCATTTCCAGACCCTGGTAGTTGCGCTTAGTTCCGGCAGGTTACAGTCATCGTTGCGCCCAAAAACAACAGCCGGCGTTCACCGTCACCCCTTGTTTCGAGTTTTATCATGGCTTGACCCCAAAGCAGGGCCCCAAGAAAGCGCGCTGCTCTAGCTCGCATATTACGCCAGCCCTTGGCAAACCGCTTGCCTGGGCATGCTCGGCGGTGTTGCTTTTGTTCGAACGGCCGCTTGGCCTGCGCTCATTCGCTGAAACAAATGTACTGAGCGACGAACGTCTTGAGAACCAAACAGGCATTTTGCTCGCAGGCTTTATCGCCCGTGGACTAACTTGTGTAGAGCAGCTTGTCCAGCGAAATTGCTTAGAGAACTTGATTGAAAAGCTTGCTCAGAGAACTTGCCCGGCTTTTTCTTGTTCAAAGAACTTGCCCAAAACAATTTGCTCAGAGAACTTGCTCAGAGAGCTTGATCAGAGAACTTGCTCGGAGAAGCCTGCT